TATACATATAGTACATATAGATAGATAGATAGATAGATAGATACATACACACACACTTTTTATTTTACTTTTGCTTGTGGCATATATATATATATATATATATATATATACACACATATACATATAGATAGATAGATAGATAGATAGATACATACACACACACTTTTTATTTTACTTTTACATTTTTTGCTTGTGGCTTTTACTTTTATATCAGCAGTCTCATTGTTATTCCATTATAATAGTGCAAAGTTGCTTTGTAAGCTAACTGGTCTCAAATTAATTTAAATGATTAAATTGTAATTATACATTTTAACTAGAAGTAATAAGAATTATAATTTGAGAATGAATGCTTATATTTAATAAAATGTGAAGTTATTAATATCCAAATGATACATTAAATAAATTACTTAAATTATTTTAAGTTAAAGGTAAAAATACTGGTCAAACCTATTATCGTTTTACCTTTTGGCAAATGGATTTCCACATATCTTAAACAATGAATTTTCATAACTTTGAGTCAAAATTCATTTCACACTGATTTACTAATTAATCATCCCGACCAATTTTTGAATAGCAAAATAGATCTCACTATGGCTTGCCATCTACACAAGACCAATATAGAGCCAGTGAAATATTTTAGAGCAGATCATATCTAGAAAAATAAAATAAAATTCAATACAAAAAAAGCCCAAGATTTGATTCATTTTCATAACATCTCCAGGCCTGTTAAAGCACAATTTTCAAATTCCCAGATATCTCTCATGGGGACTCTTCAGAATACTTCAAGCAAAATTACGTGTCAAAAATAAGGTTTTAAGTAAACAAACATGCGGTTCACAACGAAGACAAAATTGTGAAACATTGTGATTGTCATTGCTAGATGTCAGATGCTGGTTTAATAGTGCAATGAAGTTTCCTTATAACCATACTGTCAAAACAGCACGAACACCTGCTCAACCATAACTATGCTCAGCATTCAAATTAAATATGACATGTATATAATATGCATGCACTATATGTATTCAAGCCCTCGTCGTGACGTTGCACACAGCCAGATGTGCGAATAACACCCAACATCTCACACACGCACGCACACGCACGCACACACACCTGTAGTTCCGATTTCCATTCATGAGGTCTCTGTCCGGTTCCCTCCCCGGCTCGTAGTAGACGAACTTCAGAAGCCGCCCGAACCGGTTCCGTTAACCCAGTGCGAGCGTCACCTCCCAGTTCACGGGTTCCTAATCCACCTTCCCAGAGGCTCGTGTATCAGAGGAGGCCGAGGTTCCGTGGCTCGAACTATCCGGTCGGGATTTCAGGTTCGGTTGACAGACTGACGTGACGGCCGGCTAGCCAGCCATCTAAAACGAGAAGTTCCCCTCAACCTGCCCGAATACAGTCCCGAATCGCTGTTTCTGTGACGGCGACGCCTTCAGAAACGCGTCTTTGGAAAGACCGAGGCGGTTTGTTGAGGTGTTATGACGCTACAGCGAGTAAAAGTCAACTGATGTCGCCTCCGCTCTTCGACACAGCTAGCCTGCTACTGCTAGCGGCCAGGCTAACCAGCTAAGCTACATTCCCATCTGAGGAGAAAAATCCCGTGAAACGCCGCAGGCGAAGGTCCCCGATCATCCATGAATTCCGTCCTCGAAGCTCGAGGCTTTTCGATAGCGCTGATTCCCTCCGTTTTACGCCGGCGGTGACATGAAATAAGTTGGGAGCTGAACTCTCTCTCTCGCAGGGTTTCTCTGACACTCAGAGCCTCCGCGAGACTTGCGACGGCTTAATATGGAGCGTCTGATCGTCCGCGAGCGCGACGCACTGACCTGCCGCGAGAGCCGCGCGCTGATTGGCTGCGAGGGAAGGGACGGGGATCTATCTATCTATCTATCTATCTATCTATCTATCTATCAGAAACAAAATTATGTTCTAAGAACGTTTCGCTAACGTTCCCATTAAGTTTATTTTAGAAACATTATTTCTGAACGTTCTAAACGTCCAGTTTTTTTAAATGTTAAGGGAACGTTTAATTTTATCATTTTGCAAACATGGGAACGTTACTTTTGAAATGTCTCTGAACATTCTGAAACATTTGTTAAAAATGTCAGACAACCTTCAAGTCAACTAAAATGTTTCAGGGGGAAAAAAGTGAACAACGTATGAATATTGTTATTGTGCAAACGTTTTGAGAACATTATTAAAGAGCAGATAACTTTACCATCTATCTATCTATCTATCTATCTATCTATCTGTCTGTCTGTCTGTCTGTCTGTCTGTCTATCTATCTATCTATCTATCTATCTGCTAACAAGTTTATGTTCTGAGAATGTTTTGCTAATGTTCCCATTAAGTCATAAAAACGTTACTTCTAAATGTTCTCTGAACATTCATACTGCTCAGTTTTTGAAATGTTTAAAACACTTTTTTTCCGGGTTATACAAACGTTAAAGGATCTCTCTATCATTTATTTTCCATCTGTTTGTACACTTTTATTATTAATTTTCTTGAATAAAAAGCTGATAACATGAATTATAATCTTAACCCATTTAATACACCAGAATAGATGTTAAGAGTGATTTTACTTATTAGGCCCCATTCATCTTTGTAAAATCAATTGTAAAACCATTCTTCCATAAACTGTAGCATTCAGTTCAGTGCAAGAATGAACACTGATACCATGAATTATGGTGTTGATCCAGTTAATAAAACAGAATAGATGATAAGAGTGATTTTACAAGGGATGCATGAAAATGTCATTGATTAAAGTCAACATGAAATCAAAACTGACCAATCACTTTCATAGTCTTATGAAGCATGCGTTAATGGGTGCATGTTATTCCAAAGAAAAACATTGTCATCATTTATCAAAATGTCAAAAAAATTGCTTTTATAATATGAAATCTGGTTTCTGTTTGAAATGTCATCTTTTGGAAGTAAATGGGTTGTAAATGCATGCTACTTCAATAGAATTAGATGCATGAATAACAAATGATGAAACTGCAAAAAGCAGTAAATAATGAAATGCAGTTGTACATTTCATTTCAACCCCAGACCCGCTCACATCTGCAAGCAGGACTCAACACAGTATTTAATAAAAAACAACTTTTATTTTCTTTAAAAAATAATCGTCCCAAACAAAGTCCTCTCACTATTACATACAGAGCCAAAATGACTTGCTTATGTGTTCATTCATTGAATCTATTGGGAAGTGCTATGATATGGACTGTTCTTTATCAGTGGCTTAATATTGCTTAAACGTTGAGGTCGGGTGAAGTTCATTCTCCAGTTACACTGTTACGCACCTCCATCTTCTTCATCACTAACAAGGTGCTGTGGCTTCTGAGAGCCAAGTACTGCATCAGAATATTTCAGACCGGATCAATATTATACAGCGCGCATCAATAAAAATCACCTTGTTGGGTTGGTAAAACCTAATATATAAAGGCATGTCTTTGTATACATTTCATAAACATGAGTTAAAATAAAACATGGTCAACTGTTACATCTTAAAATCCCTTTGAATTTCAACAAAGCGTTTTGGGCACTTTGAGGCGAGTCTTTCAACAATGTCACCTTGTGGAGATTCCTTGCCACTTTGCAGTAAAAGGTTTCCTTAAAGGGAAAGTTCACCAAAAAATGAAAATTCATGTCATTATTTATTCATCCTATGAAGTGTTTTTTGTATGCAGCTGTGGGAAAAAAATCCAGATTCGTAATGACAGATTTTCATTTTAAGGCAAACGGGTGAGAAAGTATGGCATCAAATGTTATACGGGCTCAGTCTTAATATTTCTGTACAACAAAGTTGGATGGTAACTTATACTGCCATGAAAATACTGTATTCCAAGTCTTCTGTATTCACATAATAAATTTATGTATTTTAAGGCAAACGGGTGAGAAAGTATGGCATCAAATGTTATACGGGCTCAGTCTTAATATGATTACTAAGAGGCTCCAGTTACAACACCAACTCAGTTTAAACATGCATTTCATACATCCACCGTATGACATGATTACATGACATAATGCTCCCTTAACCTGCGGAAAAGGCGTTTTCCGGCATGCCCACTGCACCGACGGGCGTCAGGTCAATGATACTGGCATGTGTTAATGTGCTTGTTGGGAAGGGAATGTGGCAGGCAGTGTTACCAACGGCACGCTTGAAAAGAATGCAGAACGGCTATGACGGGTGGGAGCGTGTGGTGATGCGACCCAACGGCCTTCATGAGCCTGTGTGAGAGAGAGGACAGGCTCACTATATACAAACAACTTCCTGCATTGTTCGAGCTCCCGGTAGAGACAAACACATCTCATTCTCTTCTATCATCTTAAACATGACTTGAGGTTTTCCTTATGACTTGCCTCAGTGACCTTGTATTGCTTTGTTTACAGAGGCAAGTGGAAGAAAAGGTTTAAAGGAAAAGTTCACCCAAAAATGCAAAAAAAAACACAAAAAAACAGAATATATATATATATATATATATATA